GTGTGCACAACTAAACAAGGAAGATCATCAACAAGTAAATTAGATCAGCCATATTTATTACAATAGTGCCAACCTATACACCGAATCATAGACTAAGAAGAATAGCCGAATGACAGCGAAATATTCAATAGTGTGGCAAGCATCAAAATTATAAATTCTATCATTTGCTGTTACCATTTGCACAAACCCAAATTACCCTAGAAAATGGATAAAAATATGGAAATATTATGGTCAAAATTAGAAGATAAGCTAAATCAACAAACTCTAATAATAACTAATACAGTCACAATAAATGTTACGGAGGTGTTAAATGAAAAATTGGAATCGCTTACTGAAGAAAATAAAAACCTCAAATTAAAAATTTCTGAATTAGAACAAAAGCTACAGTATTTGGATAAAGATAAACGAAAGAATAATTTAGTCTTTTTCGGTGTCGAAGAAAATGGAAAAAGAGAAATAGATCTTGTAGAATACATAAAGAAGATTATCGTAGAAGCAGGCACCCCTCTGGACTGTCAAGAAGTAAGTAATATTTATAGAATCGGTGCGTCATCCACTAAAAGCCGCCCGATAATAGTGACCTTTACGACTACATGGAAAAAGAATCTTATACTAAAAAACAAACCTAACCTTCCACAAGGCATCTACGTGAAAGAAGATTATTCAAAAAGCGTCCTTGAAACGAGGAAACAACTACAACCGAAAGTAGAAGAAGAGCGTAAAAAGGGAAACATCGCATATTTGAAGCACGACAAATTGGTAGTAAAGAAACCATACGAGGTCGGCCGAGAAAAAAGGAAAAGAGATCAGTCTGGTTCACCAAATTGGTCATCACAAAAGAAGTCGAACACAAACAAAATTCCAGGAAGAAACCCGCCTAATACCGGTTCAAAAGAAATAATCAAACCTAACATTTTAAATTATATAGCACGAGGAAGGTCATCTTCTTTATCTGAGATCCCAAAAAACCAGGAACTAACATAGGCACCCGGAACCAAACAAAAAGAAAAATAAGCTCCTTATATAAATCAACATTGAAGATAAACCCCCCAAGCCGGCTAGTCACCGTGGGGGAAGATGACTACTACCCTCCAAATAATCTGCCCAACTCAACACAAAAACTATTCAAAGAATCCCGCCATCGGACTAGCACCTTACACATCGTTACATATAATACACTTTCACTACGATCAGAAGAAAAATTGACAGAACTTGTGTTCGCATTAGATAATATAAACTGGTCTATCGTTGGTTTAAGTGAAGTGAGACGTATAGGAGAAAACATAGAAGACTTCGGTGAATTTACTTTTTACCACAACGGTTACACACCGGGCCAATACGGTGTAGGTTTCTTAGTGAAAAAAGAATTAAAAGAATGTATAGATGAATTCATAGGCATATCAGAGCGAATCATTTTATTAAATTTAAAGTTACCACCTTTAGACGAGATGTGGTCCATAGTGCAAATCTACTCCCCGACAGAGCAAGCGACCAGCACAGAAATCGACTCTTTCTATTTGCAGCTAACAGAAACAATAAAAACTTATTCATGCAGCAACCTCATAGTGATGGGAGACTTTAATGCGCGAACAGGATACAGAGTAGAGGGTGAAGATATAGTGCTGGGGCCATACAGTACAGGAAAAAGGACACGAAACGGCGAGAAATTGATTCATTTAGCATACGAGAATAATCTGAAAATATTGAACAGCTATTATAAAAATCGACCAAGGAATAGGTGGACGTGGACATCTCCAGACGGTCGTTACAAAAATGAGATAGATTACATTCTCTCGAATCGAAGTACAGCTTTTCAAGATTGTCGAGTTATAAATAATTTAAACTTTAACAGTAACCATAGACCTGTCAGAGCCAAGNTTGTCTGGTCATTAAAATAATTAAGCATCCGGTCCTCCTTAATTGGAACCAAATGAGAGGGTTGCAGCCAACAATCGATTTGTCCCCGTGACGTAATTACCCTTTCCGTTCATCATTTTAGTTATTAATAATTACATTGGATATTAAAAATAATGATTATCGTATATGTCGTGAAGAGAGTGGATGTGGATGGTAAGTTTCCTAACTTTAGGGCAGAAATTTAAGTTTCCCTTAAATTTACACAAAGATAAATGAATGTTATTGGATTGAATATTAATCAGTTCATAGAATAAATGGCACACCACCAAATTTCACAATTGTATTTCATAATGATATTAAAATAGCACTATTCTAAGAAAGTCGTTTCTATATCCCAAGAATCAATATTATAATGTCATAAAATAATTAATTTCAATGGGCGATTGACATCGAAAAAAATGGGTCACAAAAAATCGACACCAGATAGTCGAATCATGCAAACTAATTTTTCTCAGAACAATATCACAATTATATTCAAGCGGGACCACCCTGGACGTGTCTGCTGTGAATATCATACACGCATACGGACAAACGTAACTATAATTCCAAACATGACACCGTATACACATGAAGAATAATAAACGAAAAAAATATTTACGATTGCCAAATTAAAAAAAAATACTGTATCCCTTACAGTACAAAAATTTTTCGAAAGATTCGACGCTTATCTTCTATATATTAATACGTGAAGCATATACTTTGTATCCCTTTTTACGAAAATTGCGCGGACGGAGGAGTATGAAATTTTCCACACTTATAGAGAATATAGAGAAGAAGTGCACAATGATAATTTTTTTTTTTAAATAATGCATAAAAGATACATTAAATCAGTAAAGAAAACATTACACACACTACATACCATGTATTTGACGCACACACGCATGCATACTATTTATTGTCAAACTTTTGTTCTTGGCGTCTGTTGTCAAATTGAGAATAGATTAAATATTGTTTGTCTTTGTTAATATTTTTTATAGTGTAGTCTTGGCGAAATTTGTGATTATAGAAGTATAAAATACAATCATAATAGTGTACAAACTTACAATTCCATTTAATTATAGTCAAATTTCGACTACTGCGGGACCTCTAGTTTCAAGAAAACTGTGTGATTGGTGAAGAATGCGTGTGAATGGCAGAGAGTTGGTGAATGATTAGACCATACGAAATTTACATATGTGTTTTCGTATCTTTTTCTCTACCTATGCTTATAGCCTTGAGAGGCTATTTCAGCTTCGTCCTAACATGTAGGTGAGCTCACGGGGCTCAAACCGGAGTGTTGCTAACACTGGCCCTAGCAAGACCAGTGCTTCGCAGAATCTACCACCGGATCAGAAACGCGACCCACTGAGAAGATCCGGCGAGAAACTCAGTGGGCTGTGTCTGTGGGTTAAGATTTCGTATACCAAGCATTTCAGGTTTACGCAAAACTTCAGTAGTCATTCAACAAAGTATATTGTACGTCATATAATTTTACGAATGACTAAAACTAGAATGGAAAATTATTTTCGATTCAATTTAGTTTTAAAATATTGAACTAATTGAAAATTTTGATTTACGTTTATGAACAATGCTAATCTTCCTCTCGTCGTAGTCGCTGATCAAGCTTGATAAACAATATTGGTGTATATACTAAATAAATAAATAAAAACAAAATATACTGTAGCCACTAAGCATTGTGGACAATATCTAATTTGATAATATCTAATAAGATCTTAACAAAGTTAGACGCCAGAACTGCAATCTAAATGTACTGTGTACTGGTGGTAGGACCTCTTGTGAGTCCGTGCGGGTAGGTACCACCACCACCCTGCCTATTTCTACCGTGAAGCAGTAATGTGTTTCGGTTTGAAGGGCGGGGCAGCCGCTGTAACTATACTGAGATCTTAGAAATTATATCTCAATGTGGGTGGCGCATTTACGTTGTAGATATCTATGGCCTCCAGTAACCACTTAACACCCGGTGGGCTGTGAGCTCGTCCACCCATCTAAGCAATAACAAAAAAAACATATGTACAAGTACTTTAACGCACCTGTTTTATATTTACTCTGTGTCGCTGTCAAATTTGACATTTCAATTGTTATGCGGAACATTTGCGTCATTACAATTTCAAATTCCTTGTATCGTATCGAAGATTTTCGTTAATAAAGAAGCATGGGACGAGAATACGTTATTTATGAAGACGTAAAAAGGCAATACGTATTCAATGCGAGTGCAATTTTTTTGGGCATTGTCTCCGATAAATCCGGCTACTTGCCAAAGCTATTTTTTTATTTATTTTTTATTGCCCTTGTAGGCAGATGAGCAGACGGCCCACCTGATGGTGAGTGGTTACCGTCGCCCATGGACTTCAGCAATGCCAGGGGCAGAACCAAGCCGCTGCCTACCGCTTAATACTCTCCACAAGCCTATTTAAGCACAGATAAATAAAAATCATAAAGGTTTAGTTGTACCAATCGCAGCTTTTTTCCTACCTAATCATTGATAGTCTAAGAGGCTATTCCAATTACGCTCAGAGTGGTAGGTGAGCTTAAGAGGATCAACCTGAAAGAACTTGCTAACACTTGCCCTAGCAAGAGGAATGCTTTGCTGAATCTACCACCGGATCAGAATGACGATGTGTGTATGTACGTGTGCAATTTTTTTGGGCATTGTCTCCGATAAGTCCGGCTACTTGTCAAAGCTATTTACGCACAGATAGAAATCAAAAAGGCTTAGTTGTACCAATCGCAGCTTTTTTTCCTACTTAATCATTGATAGTCTAAGGTGCTATTCCAATTACGCTCTGAGTGGTAGGTGAGCGAGGATCAACCTGAAAGAAATTGCTGACACTAGCCCTAGGGAGAGGAATGCTTTGCTGAATCTACGGATAGCTGTCTGGAAGGGATTAATATATCGCATTATTTATTTGTTTTTTTGGTGTACAATAAAGAATACTCACTCCCTCTCTTTCTCTCTCTCTCTCTCTCTCTCTCTATGTAGCCGTATTTGTTTTATTCATCGTACACAATAATGTAGTGGCGGCTATATTATGTGTTTTTTTTATGAAATTTTAATTGTGTAAATCTATATAAATATCACTTACCTAGTACAATATCTCTTGCTGAAACTGTACACGTGGCTACCAAGGTAATCAGCAGTACGGTTACGCGCGTAACGCGCCAAAACGCAATGGCGGTGAGGTTCATTTCTGTTTTCGAACCTCAACTCCTTGTCGAATCCATTAGATACTGTAACAATAAAAGAAATTATAGCGTTACATAATTTACTCATTTAAATATAAATTTAGAAGTTTTCTTTTTTTTAAATAAAGAATATCTATAAATTTTAAAGTTTTGGTAGTTCCAACAAACAGTAGCGTTTATTTCAAATCATTCTACATATAATAGGTACCGTATAATTTGGTACTTATTATAACTAATTATTTAAAGGCCATCTGATCTTTCATTTTAATCTTTATATCATTATTCGTTGTTAAGAGATTACCCATTTTTTCAGTTTTACTTTTAGTCAAGATATAGTGGCGATGTTTAAAAAAAAATTATGATACTATTCCCTGGTGGTAGATTCTGCGAAGCACGGCTCTTGCTAAGGCTAGTCTTACCAAAACTGACCAGGCTGAGCCCCGTGAGCTCACCTACACGCTACCAGCATATAGGTAGGGTAAAAAAGATAATATACCAAAACACATTAATAATTTTTTGAACGCACATATTGCTTTCAACTGACCAACTCCGAACTTTGAATGAGACATCTGTTTACCCAGAAATAGAATCACTTACGCTCAGGTAATAAAGTCTAAATAGGTAACGTGTTGCAAAGCTGCAACCTCTAAAATACAGGGTGCGTGAAAACCAATAAATGTCGAAGCTCATTTGTGTCTATTTATTGCAAATGTCCGACATTGGAATCTCGACCTTACGGTCAGAAAAGAAAAGGATTATTTTAGTCTACTTATTTGTTGAAGTATGTTAGTTATCTTTTTATTTATTACGAGTATGTACGAATTCGTGCTATAAAAAGTACATACTATAATATGCACATCAAAACAGTTAAATAAATCTTCAATAGAATTTAATCAAGGATCAATTCTAATCAACAGTACACGTAATCTTATTTAAAATAGATACATTTTTAATGTGCTACGAAGATTCATTCAATTTTCAAAGAATACCTTTTCATAGAAGTCTACACTGACGTAACTAAAAATTAGTTTTAATAGTTGCTAGAGTGAGTAAAATTTTTATTTCATAAAAATGTTATAAAAATTCTTATTTCCTGCATATCGAGGGGTGAAAGGCCTTAAATTAAGCGACATTTTTATAACTCTACAGAAAAGCAATTTCAAATATGAAAGTAGAAAAAAAATATCACAAAAAAAATTCTTCAGCTATTTAAATGGAGTAAACTCAATTAAAGTTCAATTAAAAACATCGAACTGCTAATGCTAATGCCAAAGGATGCACTTTTAATTAAAAAAATATTATAAATATCGCGTACTAAGCGAAATATCCCTTAAACCATATAGATTTTCACTCCTCGATATATTAAACGAACTAAAATGTAGGTAATATACCTAAAACGGAAATGATTTTCTATTATTTCAGTTGACATTTCTAATTTCGCGTAAAAAACAAATCTAAAAATTGGTATTGCATAGACTAAATGAGCTTCTTCGGACACATCATGCGGTCTCCCAGACATAAATTAGAGAAGCTCATAATTGGGGGTCGCATAGAGGGCAAGCGCGGCGTGGGCAGAACATCAGCTAGATGGTCAGATCTAGCAAGAGAAGCACTTGGTGGTAGTCTGTACCATGCGGTCCATGCTACCCATGATCGAGCACATTGGAAGTACGTCGCATGTGGTTGCGATCCTCAGTTGTGAGGGAACGATATAGAAGAAGAAGACTAAAAATTAATTCCGAAATTCAATGACGGATTTATCGTCTCTCACGATTTCTGGAATACCTCAGTACGGTTCTGCTTCTCATTGAGCCGTCGTATCCGATTTCTTAAATATGTACTGTAATAACTAACGTTCGCTCAGTACGCGGGATCGACGACCGCGTGTAAAATTAAACTTGAAAATAAACAAATTTAAATGTATAAAATAACACAGTTTTTTAATTAACCGTTACGGTGATCCGGTCGACATGGCATTACGGGTTTGTGTGTGTTAATGCGAATCGGATATGACATTACAAAAACCGTAAGAAAACAATCAAATATAAATTTTCGTATTGTTCTTAGTTTTGACAAAAGCGTTAAGGGATCCCAAAATGATTTGTGAAATAAAATTTCATAACTATAATTATTATGTAAACAAAGCATCATTAATAGCATACAAAAAATTTTATTATTTAAAAGTTTTAAATAACAATATAAAACTAGAGACAAACGGTAAGTAATCGCCCCCAAAAACAACTTTCTCCTCCTACATACATCACCGCATAAACAGTTAAATTTTTACGATCCATCATAAAAGTAAATAGCCAAAGTTTAAACAGAGGGCTGAAAGTTTTTAAGCCAGTTCTGTTTTATGTTAGTTTTCATTAGGCAGTATAACACGTGCCCCTCTGCCGTATATCATACGATGAAGGGTTAACCTCTGTTGCCATATTTAAAATTAGATCCATTTCGATATATATATTTTTTTCATTATTGCCCCCTTCATTCGAAATAGACCTGTCAACAATATGTATTCGGGTCGTTAATCATAAAGGACTCTGTTAATGATTTATGTGAAATCATTATATACCTAAATGAATTGAAAAAAAAAGCCGATAAGTAATCCAATTAAAAATGTGTATTAACTTATGTTAAGTTACATTATTTCAGATCGTTTCTTTCAGCGTTCTCGACATAAAATGTAGCTCTTATCATTTCTAAACAGTTTTCGTCCTATTTATAAACTCATTTACTTAAAAGAGGTAAACTCTACGAATAAATAATTATGTAACATGCACCCTATGCGTCTGTGCGGCCATCTGCGATAGAGGTTTTTTTTTTGTAATATTTGTAAACAATCTATTATGTTTTTGAATACAGTGTGTGTTTTTTAAAAAGATATATTTTGCAAATTATAATAAGCCGTATATAATATATTTTTTTAATTGAACAGATTTTAGTACCTATTTTGCATATATGTATATATTTTTTTATCATAATATTACGTTTTTTTTTTCAATCATACGGCTCGTATATTAGAAAAGGTTTTATATCTAGAGCCATCTCTCCTACTCGCTTCAGATACCTTAATACTGAAGGCTAGAATTCTCAGTGGAATCATTTTCTCACTGATGATGCAACATGGCGGCCATTCCGAGCGTGACGTAAACCATCGTGAAGATTGAAGCAAAGCGGTGAACATATTTGGTGTGACGGTTTGACTGCAAACCGATGCACCAATATTAATAGTAGTCCACTTTATAAAACAATTTCATTTGTCATCACAATACATAACATCGGAATAATTCGTGAACCGGCAAATAGTTTGTGTCAATTACAAACTGACCGCAAATAACACGGACTGTGTTTATCTGAAGCCGCATCATTTGAATCAACAAACCGCCAATTGTCAGTCGCTGTGAATAGTCACGATTGACACCGAGCGCAAGTTAAATTTGTGGTAGTAATGTCCTAATTGTTTTTAATACGCTTTTATTAGCTTCAGACGTGTGTATGTTTGTAACGGAATCTTTGAACGTGATTTTGAGCCCCTTCAAAACGTCGGATTAACTCTAAATGTGGTATATTTATTGAGGACCGATGACAATACAATATTAACAAAAAAAATTGAGAAAATTGAAATTAAACTAAAAAAATGAGAAAATAAATAATGATTTAAAAAAACTAACAAAATACGCTTTTATAGAAAGTCCAATTAAAAAGTAGAAAATAAATTTGAATTAAAAATAGTGTTAGAAAAAATGATTTTACTGTAAAAAAAGCGTGAGGTGCATGGTATAAGTAGTTATAAATATTTTATGAACAGATATGAGTAGAAGGGTTATTTTGATAATATCCTGAAAAGCACCCCACGCTTTTTTACAATAAAAAAATGTTTTCTTACCCTATCTTACCAAATTTATTTTCTATTTTTAGTTGGATTTTCTATAAAAGCGTTTTTTGTTAAATTTTTTTAAACTATTATTTATTTCTTTTCCATTTTCATGCATTGAGAATGCTGAACCAAGACTTTTAAATATTTTTTATTGCCTTTGCAGAAGTCAGCGATGCCAGGGGCAGAGCCAAGCCGCTGCCTACCGTTAAGTACTCTCCACAAGCCTCGTTTGAAGAAGGACATGTCATAGCGCTCGGGAAACACCGTGAAGGGGAGTTCATTCCAAAGCCGGATGGTGCGTGGCAGAAAATATCTTTGGAAACGCACTGTCGATGAACGCAGCGGTTCCAGATAATATGGATGAACTCTGCTCCGGTGGCGGGAGGTAAGATGGTAACAAGGAGATGATGGGATCATCTCGAATATATCTTCACAGCAATAATTTATTTTGCTTTTGGCTTTCGGTAAAACAGCTTTACATTAATGCAATTTACGCAAAATACTTATTTTAGGAAGGATCAGAGGAAAAGTAACACAAAAACAAAAACCAAAATGGCGGCTGGCAAACCTTTATTGCCTTTAGGATACAACGGATCGCGCAATAAAACCCGCGAATCGGGAATCGAAATGGCGGATCGCGTTCGAATTTTAAAACATCCTGTGCGAGGAAGCTTGCGCACGTGCTCCAGTAAACTTCCTGCGTCGTCGTCGAACAGAGGTGCGCGGCGTGTCGCGACTGAATATTCGAAATTTGAAACATTTGAAATGGAATACTAATTTAAATGTTTTTAAACCCTTTGAAGGTGAACCGTCGATAGAGATTTTTACTGGTGGTAAGACCTCTTGTGCGTCCGCGCGGGTAGGTACCACCACCCTGCCTATTTCTGCCGTGAAGCAGTAATGCGTTTCGGTTTGAAGGGTGGGGCAGCCGTTGTAACTATACTTGAGACTTTACAACTTATATCTCAAGGTGGGTGGCGCATTTATGTTGAAGATGTACATGGGCTCCAGTAACCACTTAACACCAGGTGGGCGGTGAGCTCGTCCACCCATCTAAGCAATAAATAAAGAATTAAAGATCGACGCCCTATTAACGCATATAAAGTCTGGAGCGTCGGAATACCGATTATTACGCAGTTTGATTATAGGTCTAATACCTATAGAC